GGAGTGATCATGGTGAATGGAAACCTGGTTCATTTCCAAAGCAAGAGGCAAAAGAGCGTAGCATTGTCATCTTGCGAAGCCGAGACAATCGCAGCGACATCAATCTTCAGCGAAGGTGTATTCCTGAAAGGATTGCTGAAAAGAATCCTAGGAGTTGAGCCAAGACTGATGTTATACAGTGATTCGTCAAGCTCAAGACAGTTGATCTCAAGAAAAGGCTTAGGCAGAGCACGCCATTTACAAGTGGACCTCTTATGGATCCAAAGAATTCCGAAGCTCATTATAAAGGCGATAAGGACAATCCCTCAGACCTAGGGACCAAATCCCTGACACGGGAGAAGATACGCAAGTATATGCTAAGCCTAGGATACACAGGTGAATTTTTGACACCAAGTGATCAAGAAGTCCAAGAAGCTGAAGTGAGAAGGACAAGAACAAGAAGTGTTACAAGATTTGATGAAAGGATGATTACAAGGATTATCCAGACGGTTACGACCGCAGTTTTGTTATCGTTGACTGAAGCAAGAAGATTCGGCGAAGAAGGTGAACAAGGACTGGGAAGAGCAAGTGTAGTTTGCATACTGTTGTGCATGTTCATAGCAGCGATTATGCATACAGTTGCAAGCGCAGCCGTTTTGCTCAAGAAAGAAGTCCTGAAGAAAGAAGAAAAAGAAGAAGATAGGACAAGAGCAATGGCCGATGATGATGCAGTCAAGTATATGATCACAGAGCAAAGCAGAAGCATCGAGGCAACCAATTACCTCGGAAAAGTGCTTAGACAAGATAAAGATAGGTCACAAAGACCAAGTGCTGATGACCTCTGGAAAGAAGTAGAAGCACTCAACCAGCAGTACGAAGTCAGGGTGACTGACAGAAAGAAGGAAGAGCAACCAAAGAAAAGAGAAGAAGATGAAGCAGCGTCGGATCCAGAGTCCGATGAAGAGTCCAAGGAAAGTGAGTCAGCAGAAGATGACGAGAATGAGAAAGCACAGGAAGAAAAGAAGGGAGAAGAAAAGGAAAAAGATTTGGAGACGTTCAAGAAAACTGCTGAAGAATTGGCACAAGAAGCGGAGAGACTGAAAAGGTCGAAGGAGACTAACTTCGCAGCGTTGGAGCAATCAAAGGTTAGCATACCTGAGGACATCCAACAAGGCATAAGGAATCAAGGAGAGATCATGGATGAAAAGCTACAGCAGCTTGAAGAGATGAAAGCAGCAGCCAAGGAAAGAAGAGCAGAAGTAAAAGCAGAAGCAGATCAAGTTGCAAACAAGGCTGAAGAAGAGAAGCAAGCAGAAGAAGAGAAGCAAGAAGAAGAGCAAGAAGAAGAGAAGCATGAAGAAGAGAAACATGAAGAAGAGAAGCAGGAAGAAGAGAAGCAGGAAGAAAAGCCAAAAGAGAAAGAGGAGAAGGAAGATGCCGAAGAAGCGGTAGTTCAATCCTCTGATGAAGAAGCCCTCGAGGCACGAGAAGCCCTAAGGAGTGGATTCAATATAGACACCATGTCTATCTTTGAAACAGTTATGGGGCAGCTGAACGTCGAAAGCGTTCGACGAGCCATGCCAACCACAAGCTTGGAGAAAGAATTCGTGACATGGCAAGAACAGATGAGGCGGCCAGTTTCAAGACTTCCGGCCGGGTACGGCCTAAGAACCTCGGAACTTCTAGCAAAAGTGGAAGATGATATGCAAGAATATATCGAGAGTATGTCCACGTTGACAGAAGACGAGAGGAAGGCTGAAGAAGCTTACAAGCAAGCCAGAGAAGAGATGGATCAATACGAGCAAGAACTCAAGAAGGAGATGAAAGAAAAGCTCGAAGCAAAGCTTAAGAAAGTGCGAGAGCTCGAGGAAGAAGCAGTCGCAGCAAGAGGAGATGTTGAGAAGACAAGCAATGTGAGAAGTGCTTTACAAAAGCTAGGCGAGGTAGTGCAGACAGCAGACAAGCTACTGTCAGCTTTGAGCGAAGAGTTCAAAAGCCTAGATCTGTACACAAGGCCAGAGCCAGATCAAGAAAAGGAGCGACAAGCCCTAGCAAAGTTGATGGCGACAATCAAAAGAAAAAGCGAGGCAAGCAGCCCAGCAACGCCAGCAGCAAAGGCAAAGCCAATGCCAAAGAAGGTACCTCAGTTCCTCAAGGTCAGGAGTTACAGAGGAAGAAAGAAAGGCAGCGAATACTTTGGAGAAGCAGCTAGCTTTGAAGCACAAGCTAAGATCATCGTTCAAAGAAGCAACTGATGAAGCGATAGAGAAAGCAGCGAAGGCAAAGTTGGATCACAGCAAGGAGAAGCCAAGCGAGCCAGAAGGCACGCCACCAAGAAAGGTGAACCCGATTTGGCTTAAGGATGCAAGAGAAGAGTCGTTCAAGAAGACCAAGTACCTGCATTGTTTCTATTGCAAGGCTACAGACCAGCATAAAGCTCCGGAATGCCCGGAAATGGAGAAAGCTGTCAAGATGTACTACGATGGCACAAGGCCGGACAGCAGCAACAGCGAAAGAAGAGTCTTTTGTAAATTTTGCTTTCTGATGTTTACGCACATCAACTACAGGACCTTCAAGGGATGGGGTACACATACCCCGGACATCTGCAAGTATAAGGACGATGTCAGGAGTTACTTGGAAAGCAACAAGTACAAGTTCGAGAAGGAGCTAAAAGACATCCAAGAGCAAGGATATACCCCGAAGGACAGTTGGGGAGCAGAACCAAAGAAGCCTAAGAAAAGTGATGAAGAAAAGGCTGAAAAGAAAGCAGATGACAAAGAAGAGAAGAAGAAAAGGACAGCCGACAAGTCCAAAAGCAAGGACAAGGATAAAGAGAAGAAGGCCGAAAAGGAGAAGAAGCGGAAGAGCGAATCTCCGTTTGATCAAGGGAGCGCTGAGAAGCGACAGCGCGGAGAAAAGGAGTTGGAGTAAACCAAGGTTGCGGTTTAACACAAGAAAAAGCCGTGAGGGCGGAAATCGCCCAGCAGCAAGCGTGAGGGCGGAAATCGCCCAGGAGCAAGCAGAGTTTCACAATGCATGAAAGAAGGGGCAGTAAGGCCTATCCTTTCGTGTGAAAAGGGAGAGCTATGCTGAAGGTGAATTCCAAAGAGAAGAGCGGAATTTCACGGAAAGGCGTTCGACGCCACGACAGCCCACGACAAAGCACTACGAGCACAACGAAAGTGTTTCAAAAGAGGCAAATGGCCTAAGACCAAAGTTTCCAGATTGCCGAAGAGCAAGTATGGACCTACATCGCGAAACGCGACGTGAAGAAAAAGTGAGTGCGCATTTAGATTCTGAGTGAGTCCATGCCAATCGTGTGTGGAGTGGAAATTCGCAAATCTGTTATAGGACATCTGAAGATTGAGGATGAAGACCAAAGGAAGAAAAGGTTAAGGATGTTCAAGAAGTGCTCAAAGAAGCGTGCGAGAAGAGAAGATCAAGCTCACAGGAGCATGCGAAAACAGTGGTAGAAGTAGGAAAAGTTTCACAAGGATCGCATTACACGACAAAGCTGTGTATGCGATGAGGGCGTAACAGATAGTTCAATTTTCCCTCATGCCCATTTACATACAGGAATCCAGTGTTTCACCGCAGGTCAAACGTAGGCTCAAGCACAGCCCGACAGCGGAGCACGGAGTGAGAAAAGAATCCAAGCTCGCGCCGTGGTTATAAGAAGTATACTGGTATAAGGGTTTAAACTTTCAAAGAAGGACGCAGCCTGGAGGACATGCAGAAGTTCGACTACCTCGCTTCTGCGGTGCTTCCCGATCCTGGACGCACCGGCACCTTCGTGCTGGGGCTCACTATGGTGGCGGCGGCATTGCTCCTGCGAAGCTCGTCTTCTTTGCCCACTGCGAAGTGGAGCCGTTGAGAGCATTGCATCGACAACACCGCTGATGTTCCTATCGGCCTCACCTACATGGGCGCATTCCTCTCGCCAAATTCGTTCTCGGAGATTGCCGCGGTCAACGAAGCCGCAAAGCGCATCCTCACCTTCGATGGCGAAGTTCGTGTGAGCTCCACAAACGCTGATGGGATTGCCGCTGAGCTGGCCCAGATCATTTATGACAGCCTCTACAGTGCCGAAGGCCAGACTCGCGAGACCGAACGGTTGGCTGAACAAAATCGCCAAACCGCAGCTCGCAATCGCCCCTCCCAAAAGGGACGTGGCCGTGCGGCTGATCCCATATACCGCGGGTATACTCAGGCCCAATGGGACGAGTACTACCGCCAGCAGCGTCGCGGCCAGTACACGCAAGCCGAGTGGGATGCATGGAACCGCACCCACAGGCGCTGAATGCTGGTCTGCATCACTTCTCAATTTGCTTTGGACCTGCGGGGCTCCTCTAATCGTGTTTTATAAATGCTCGCTTTGGCAACTCAACAAATCCTTCTGAAGCCCGGGGCAACCTGGAGCCACTGTATTGGTACGCCTTAGCTGGAGCAGCACGGCGAGGGGGGTGTAGATTTTACCCTGCCTCCATCACTAGTTTTGTGGTCCTTAGCTATTGCCTTACGCGACGCACACTTGGCCCGAGTCCCCATACGGAAAAGTCCGCCAGGGTTGACTTACCGGTAGTTAGTCGTGTCTAGCTGTTGACCTGGGAAACTTCAAAAAGTGGCCAACTCTCAAAGAGAGTGGTCCATGGAAGGGTGTTAGGATGTATAGCATATACTGCACCACATGTGTGTATAACCGCACATGCTGTAGCCCCTTCGGGTGCTCAAACAAGGCGATAAAAATTTAGCTTGGGCCGTGCGACTTTGTGGTTTAAGGGCTAGCCGAAACCCTTGCAGTTTCGGCCGCCACTTGACGGTGGGACTCGTCGGTCGCGGGAAATGGTTGCACCAATGAACGCAGCTGTTGCACATGTTGCATATGCATGCGAGGAGGCCGGGCACTTCTTCAAAGGGTGGATGAGCACTTCAGAAATACATGCTTTCAGTTCCGGCTACTTCATCACGCTGACATTCCAAACCAACCCGGCATTTCGGGCATGCTGAGTCGCAAGTCCGAGGCAGAAGGGTGTGGATGTGCTCGCGTCTATGATCTCCTGGCTAATGCAGGTGGGATGTAACGGCCAGACTTCACCTGCGAGTGCACCGGTTGCCAATTGTCCAGCAGTGCCGTTTTGAGGACACGGGCAACGGCGTCACGGGCCATGTGCAGTTGATTATGATGGGTGGGCCGCATGCCTTTACACCTCGATGCCGCCGAAAACGCGCACCGGTCGCTGCCGCAGGAAATGGGGACAAGCAGTACTCTGCCTCGGCCTCGCGCAGCCGCGCACCCATGGAACCCGTGGACTCGGAGATTCTGTGAGGACACACTGAGATGGGCCGAAACCAACAACCGTGGCCGCATTTGCGGCTACGTTGGCTGGGGCCTCGAAGTTCGCATCGTCAGAAGTGCACGGCGACGGCTTGCGCTGTTGTGGTGCACGCACACACGAGGTTTCGACCCCAAGGTGGAGTCTGCGCCTCAGAGCTCAGAGACCAATTGGACCCTGTCTGGGGTGGGCCTTAGGCACCAGATGATGGCGGGTTGCGACCTGCTCCTGATGCCATCCCGCTACGAGCCTTGCGGCCTCCCTCAGATGTACTCCCAGATGCCCCTTGGACCTTTGGACTCTGCGTCTGAGAGTCAAGACTTCACACATGTGCTCAGGTACGGGACGCTGCCCATTGTACATGCCACCGGAGGCCTCGTCGACTCTGTGAAGGCTGGTCTGGAGCGGTCTCTCTCTGTCGCTCTCTCTCTCTGTTCCCCTTGCTTCTGAGGATATCTCCGAGGGCATTGAGGTGGCAACGGGCTTCCATGCACCTCGACCCGAAGAGGGGCATGTGCCGTGCGGCTATGCCTTGTGACAAAGGTCAGCCCGCTGAGCTCCGACACGCTCAAGGACTCACTCTTTCACTGCACCCTGCAGGGTTCAGCTTGGAGAAGCTCAAAAAGACTTTTGAGTTTGGACTTGGAGGAGACCGTGTACCGAGCCGTGGAGCTGAATCTGAAGCGCAGGGAGGATTTCTGTCGGATGCAGCGCACGGCCATGTGCGAAGCTTATCCATACACGTAGGCCACAGGCACTCCTCTAGATTCCTGCAGCACCTGCACGAGGCAGAGCGATTACTACTGGCCCAAAGCCATGGATGAGTATGACTGATGCCCAGAAGACACATCATGCCTGATGAAGTGTTTTTTTTTCAGCCCCTTTCGAAAGGAAAGGCAGATAGACATCGTGCTCTACGAGCACGCGACGGTCCGTTGAAAGACACCGGACAAGTATAAGTATTCCTTTGCCTGCAGTCTTAGACTCATGACCTGGGAGGATTTTTCTGCAACGATGCAGACTATGTTCTCAGTCGAATCTCTCTCTCTCTCTCTCTCTCTCTCTCTCTCTCTCTCTGACCCGCATATCGTCTCCTTCTTAAGAGTCTTTTGTTTTTGACGGGCTATACAAAGCTGCCACGGCAGTGGTTCAAGACAGCTTTGCCGAACGACCGAAAGACATGGCCACGTCGGCAAAGACAGGCAATTACAGACTGGCTGCGATTCTCTTGGCACTTGCACGGCTTCGCCTCATCCGCTCAAATCCATAGTGGTAGCAGCATCTAAGCGAACTGTTCGCGTCCAGCCATTGAACACTGCCCGAAGCTCAAGTTGCTGAGATTGACTACCAGAACGAGCTCCGAGAATCATGCAGGTTCAGGAGGTGTGTCAGAAAGCTCACGAGCGCATCAATGGATGTCCCTGGCGGCACGCCATGGTCATTTTTCAATTGACCGAAGCCAGGTTTGGTCCTTCAAGCACAGCGGTTGTCGGTGGCTTTCGCCATCTGCCTTCCTAGCTCAGACCACATCAGGGCCAAGCTGAAGAAGCAGCCGAGAAGTATGGTGCTACAGCCTTGGACCACTTGCACGAGTTGGGCAGCTGGTCAAGATGTTCGAGCTGAGAGACACTCGAAGCTCGCTGCAAAAGGGTTCAGGCATTCAAAGACGGGCGAACAATGCAGCTGCGGGGACACTCCAGGGTACCATGCGCATCGCTGGACCCAAGAGCTTGTCGAGCACTGCTGGCCATGTGGGAGACACCCGACTGCAAGGTTTCAGAAGCCGGCATTGAATACATGTTAGCTTGAGCTGCAAGCCGGCACGTGCAAACCCATTCGAAATCTTTATCCATCGTTCGCAGTTCGGCGTCAAGCGCACTTTGGACAAGCGAAGTGCTCATCTGCGAGTCATCCGCGACATCAGACTTTGAAATGACCATGTGCACCGTGACTTGCACTCCCATGCCGCCTGCCCAAGGCAAGGATGGGCTGCAACCTGGAGAAAGTCACAGATTGTAAGACCCTGTGGCCCTGTGATGTTGCAGATTCAACTGGATCTGAAGGATCGCGCGAGGTGCGCACGCGATTGTGGTCCACATGATGTCTCGGTGGGCCCCAGGTCCTGCAGAGAGCTTCATTTCCTTTTGTCGAACTCCTTCACTTTCTTTTACCTGTCGGCAAATCACGATGCTTCCGCAGGAAACAGTAAGAGAACTTCGGACCATCGGGCTAGGATTGTGTCAAGCGGAGGAAGTGAGTGCCACTGCAGGTATCACTGATCCTAGCCGTTCCCGCTTGTGATCTTCCCAAGCATGCTGCCCGAGCGATGCTCGGGTTTTTGCCTGCTGCCGGTCTACAACCGAACCCAAAGAGCGAGAAACAGAGCCGTGTGCGACTCAAGAGTTGCTTGTGCTTGACATGTGCAGCAATTCGTAGTCTTTCTGCGTGGGAGGATGCAAGACGGCGAGAACCTTGACCAGTGCTTCTAGCCACAAGTACAGTTTGCAATGGTGATGGCGGTCTTGCCGGCTTCTTGTTGATATTTGTGAAGCCCGTTTTCCGACATGCATCGATTTAATAGATTTTGTCTCGAACCCCAATTAAATTAAATGCATATGCTTCTCCATATAGTTGAGCCGGTGCTTTAAGGGCACGGCTGCGAACACCCCGACAGCTGCGCATCAACGCATTGCAAGACACAGCAATTGACCAGAGGCGTTCTCCGTTCTTGCCAAGCGCGGCAGTACTGGTAGAAAGCCGCTCTTCTTGCCACTGAGCTTTCGCGGCTCGAGAGGAGGAGAGGAGGGAGAGACTGGGGCTTGGGCTTGGCCTGGCTGGGCCCCAAATGGCATCTTTCGCCGAAACCTCGGTGCTGCAGCGAGACGAGACGAGACGACGGAGACGAGAGAGAGAGAGCGTGCGAAAGTGACACAGTGTCGTTTTTTGACGCGCCGCGGCGCTGAGCCGCTGAGGCGAAGGCCTTTGCTCCTCGGCGGAGCCTCGGAGCCGAGCTCTGAGCGTTTTACACTGCGCGGCGCACGCGGCGCATTGCCCCCCGTGCACGCGGCGTAGCGACGGCGCGGTGCGGTGGTGCTGCCTAGGCGGTGCTGTCTGTCCTAGTCCTAGCGCTGGCTGCACCGTTTCTTCGGGTGCCCCGGACCTTAAAAAGAGGGGCACCGACGGCCGGCACCGACAGCACCGCGGCGGCGGCGCGGCGGCTGAGGTGACGACCGTGGCCTTCGCGGGCCCTTGGCCTTGGCCTCGTCAGCTCTCGCTTGCAGCGGGGCGGTCCATCGCTGTCCTGGACTTGGCCTTCTCGAGCCTTTATCCGGCCTTTCTTCTGTGCAGTCTCAGGCGCTGGCCGGCGCGTTGCCGGCATTCCCGGCGGCCGCCGCGAGTGATGGAGGGGCAGGGTCCGCACACCCAGTGAAGCTTCTGTGACCAGGTGGGGGGGGTCATGCCGCCATGCCGCAGTACGCCGCAGCGACAGGTTTCAGGCGATCATGTTCGCTCCGGTGATTAGCTTGTTTGCCATCATTGGTGTCGCCATGGTCCGGCTCCTGCGGGTCGGCAGATACCCTCCTGCCTCCTATCATCTGAAAGCTGAGATTGGCGGATTTGTGCTGGGCATCTTCGTGCCGCCAGGGGAAGGTACAACGGTACTGAGCACTGAGAGGCATTTTGTGCAGCTGGGGAGCTTGGGACATTCGGGACTGGAGAGGTGACTATGGTGACTTCGAGACCACCTTGGGAGAGAGAGAGGCGAGGGAGCCTTGCTCCGGGTGTGCTCCTGCGGGCTGGTGATGGCTGGAGTGCAGTTGCGAAGGCACGCGAGCGCGGCTGGCGCCGCGGCGTGCTGCGCGGCTACGATGAGGAGACCTATGCCGTCGGAAGCTCAACGAAAGCATAGACAGAGACTTCCCATTCCCACGGCAAAGTCCGCTCAGGCCATGCGCGGGCAGAGCAAGGAGTGGGCGCAGGCCAAAGCGGCAAAGCGGCGGCTTGGCCTCTGCTCGAAAGAGTCTATTGAGATCCAAAAAGGTGGACTACCCGTTCCGGAAGCCGCCCAAGCAGCCTGGCTCCCAAGGAGAAAGTGTTGGCACGAGGGGCTTGACTTGGAGCCCAGGCCGCAAAATATGCCACAGCTGCCAGGCTCTGGGCAGGGAATCTTCCTCGCGGGTCCGTCTCGCGGCTGTCAGGCAGAGCGCCGCAAGGTGCACCAGCGGGTGTACCAGGGGCACCCGGCGCTCCTTCTGGAGCGCCTCCAGGCGCGCCACCGCCTGGCGCACCACCGCCTGTGCCATCGCCCGACTCGCGCGCTGGGGCGCCGCCACCCGGTGCACCTCCAGGCTAGCCGCCCTTGGCTGTGAGCTCGGGAATCCAGAGCTGAGTTCCAGACCGCATGAACCCGGGCTAGAAATGTCGGGGGCCAACTGCAAGTGGCAGGAAGCAAGGATTCACAAAGCGCTTCGGGGCGCTCATAGCTTCCGCGAAAAAGCTTCAGAGATTCGTTTTCCTTCCAAGTTGTTGCTCTCCACTCTTAGTTTAGCTTCTCTGAGAGCCGTGAAGCAGTTTTTCAGTCTCGTACGGGTCTCTTTGCTCAAAGGGCGGCACGGGCAGCAAGCTCGCAAGCTCAGTGAGGACGTAGCAACATCCTAAAAGGGGGGGGGCTTCGCAGAAGTCAGGGATGGGGAGTGCCCTGGCCACGGACACCATCCCGGTCCTGGTGACCATGGCCGGGCGACCTCAAGTGGAGCTCGCCGCTGTGTCGCTGTGACGCTTTGAGTCATTTGAGGTGGATGTTCACAATGCAAAGGCTCAGGATGGGCTGTCTAGTGTGTAGCAGGGTAGCAGCGGGTAGCATGTTTCGCCGCTTACCATGAGAGTGAATGGGGCAGGACATGTTCTACTTCTGCAACGTTGGCAGCGGCGCCTAAGCTCAGTGTGCTGTGTACCAGTACCGGTCTGAAGCCCTCAAGAATGTGTGGGGATTCGCAGCCGCGGAGGTGGAGCTGCCACGAAGGTCATTGGGCGGTCACAAACATTGAGCGTGGAGGTAGGGATCACGACGGCACCTTGGCAGAACTCCGTGAACATCCAAGCTGCCAAGTTACGATGGTTGTCCAGACGTCGATATCAGGTTCTGACTTTGATCGTATATGAGTGCCCCGAACCTGCAGGGTGCCAAGGGGCCACGGGGGTGGCTCAAGACCGCGTGAGTGGAGCATTGAGGTCTTCACGCCCGAGACGGCTCGCTGCCTCGGAGTGCCGAGCCTGGCTCTGCTCTGCTCTCCGCAGCGAGGCCGCGTGTCCTCGTGTCTCTTTGCAGGTGCTCCGCGTGCCGGTGGAACGGCTAGCAGAGCGCTACAGCTCAGGCTCTGCCCAAACTCTCTCTTTCCGTCCTTTGGGTTTCTTTGAGTTTGGACCGTTGAGGCATCTTCCAGCAGTGGTTCAACTTGGACACCAAGTGCCCTGCCTCAGCGCAGTGGCACGGCATGGCCACGGCATGGCACAGCAGAGTGAGGACGGACCCGCGGATGCCAGCTGGGGACCTCCAGTCCCTGGTCACCAAGTTCGAGCAGGCACACGCAGACATGCAGACATGCAGGGCAGGAGGCGGAGCGGCGGAGAGGGAAGACAGCAAAACGCGCGAGTCTTACGCTGACTCCGTGAACGACATTTACCAGTGCGGCCCCAGAGCGATGAGGCCGATTCTCTAGATCTCGGTTCGAGATGCCTGAGGCCCAAGGTCTGCTTGTCCGTGATCGGCTCCTCCTTCGAGGCCGCGAGAGACAGAGAGACAGATGGAGGAGGAGAAGGGGTCAGAAGAGAGAGAGAGAGAGGTCGCACCTGTTCTCACAGCCCAACAACCCCGGTGCGCGAAATCGCGCGGAGGGGAGGGGTTTCCGCCCTGACTCTCCTGGCCGAGCTGAAGAAGAGAGGTCGCACTCGCAGCGTCCTTCTGGCTGTGCTGAAGAAGACAGAGAATCATGGCGATGCGTGTAGCCATCCTACCTTCTTCCGTTTCGGATGCCCTGCAGAACAGCTGCGTAAACCCGGTGAAACAGCACTCGGGGACATATAGCATTCTAAACCCAGCCATATTACGCGTAGTCTAGTATGTTGGTGCGGGGGCTCGCCGTCAAGCCTGGTGAAAAAGAGAGAGAGAGAGAGAAAACAAAGTTCAACAGTGTAATTCAGTCCTACGGAGTAACCCAAGATCAATCACTTTCCGCAGTCACACTCAAGCAGACATTCCTTTGTGACATCAAGCCTTGGTCCAGTCTTGAGCCAATGCCGTTCGGCATCGTAGCAGTCTCTAATGCATCAAGAACATTAAGGTGTACATTGGGCTCGTGTCATGTAACACAGTCCCTTGATCTTGACTTCAGTCGAAGATCATTGCAAAACATTGGTGGTGGCATTCGCGAAGCGATCAAAAGAAACAGTTAGAACAGTCACCAATCAAAGCAGCGAGAGGATCATTGGTCTCTTCCGGACTGGCTCGACTCGGGATGACATATGACATTCGAGTCGTGAGAAAACGGATCCGTCATTGGAACCCGGACAATCCCACACTCGCCTGTGACAGTGCTTCCATTGTCCATTTCCAGTCATTGGGGCCATTTCCCTCCCACTCGAAGGTGCTGATGTGGTCAGTGAATTGGCGATTAAAATAAGTCGCCAACTTCATTCGAGCATTGCCACCGGGTCCTCCAGCGACCCATCGCCTCATTGCCGTGCATTTGGTGCGGCGAAACACCACTAAGGCAATCGGCTCTTCATTCCCACTTTCCTCGAAGACACCTTGGTGTGCCCATTGGACAGTCTTCCTCAATGCACTGAGGGCATTGAAGCTGCCATTCAGCTGGTGGCAGGGAAACTTTGCCAGATCCAGCACACCATTTGGTATACAATCCCATTGCCAAAGACAGTGTGAGGCAAAGCCAGTCATAGACATTCACCAAAGCATCTGTGGCATTCTCCTTGGCGTAGTGAGGGTTGCGTCATTCCACATGCCAGTTGCCTGTGGTAAGGAACAGTCGCTCAGCTTTCGTCATTAAAGTCCAGCTCGTCTCAATCGTCCAATTGTTCGGGCCATTGACCTCGGGGTGGATGTTGAGGGAATGCATTCGCATTCTCAACGAGCTCATGGGACCATTCCAATGCTGATCCGGGTGGTCAAATCTGCAAGCAGTCGATCCACCACTCCTCGAGGCAAAAGAACACTGATCATTGGGGCAGTGTCCTCATTCCACTCTCTCTTGTAAAGAGTCTCGCCCAGGTTCACTTGGGCGCGAAGAATTCGGTCGGCGAGATCATATGCCCTTTCAACCACTCTCTGGCGGTCATTCTCCACGACAGTGGTGATGTAGCTGTCGATGCATTCCGCACTCTGGTGAGCTCAACTCCACAGTCCATCGCAGTCAAGGCGGCGGACACTTCCACCGTCACAGGGCCATGCTTGCTCAGTCGGTGCTGCACCATTGTCTCATTCATCAAGTGGCGGGCCCTTCAAGGCACCGCATTCGCTGCAGCATTCGGCTCACTCGGTGCGGGAGCACCCGGCGCCGAATCATTCGGCTCAGGTGCTGCATCAGGTCCGAGCAACGCTCCAAGCATTCCTGCACTCGCAGAACAAGGCTCCTCAGTGCCATTCCTGACGTTGATGCCAAGAGCAGCGTCGATCGCCGCAGGTCCAGCCGTGGGAGCATTCTCCATTGGCGGTTCCGCAGGCGGGCGGATCATGGTCAGGCCCTGCGCCAGTCGGTGCAGGTCCTGGCGATTCTCCGTGATATTCCCTTGGAGATGCAGTGCAACCAGGTTGCTTTGCACTCCATCTGGCGAACCTCATCTTCAGCGAGTTCACTCAAGGCGGCGATATCAATCACCAGTTGCTCAGCTGTGATCGCCTCACACATGTGCTCCGGCAGTGGCTCCATTCTCACTCGCTCAAAGGCAACATTCTTGGGGGCCATACTACAGGCAGTCGATGTCACTAAGGAACAGTCAGCAGAAAACATTTCCGGGGGAAACACATTGATCTCAGTCGGCAACACATGGACCTAAAGCAGTCCGTTGCATTGCACTCTGTACATGCAACTCACTTCCGATCACTCGGAAAACAATCGGAAACACTCGGCCATTTCGGCAATCGGCAAATCGGCCACATTTCGGCAAATCGGCCAAGTTTCGGCACAGTCCCTTCGGGACCGAAAAGAAAACAATCGGAGAACACATTTCGGAAAATTCTCTCATTCTCTCAACTCTCTCTTTCTTTGGTGTTGGGGTTTTCGGGCAACACTGAAACATTCGCACATGCAGACATGACAAGACAAGTGAACATTGCACATGCAGTCATGACAAGAAGCTGCTGCATTCCCTTTACACTAGCCAGAACAGCAATGTGACATGCGCAGTCAGAACAGGCAATGCATTCACCGCAACTCACCTACACAGTCCCTCGGCATGGACTTCAGTCCAACGGCATCCAGAGAAGCATTGCGCACAGTGGGTACATTTGGGACGTGGGCGAGGGCGGGCAGGGGAGGGGCGCGCGGGCCATTCCCAGTAGGGCGGTGGTTGGGGAGGAGGTGGCCATTGAGCATTCACCACAGGACCAACATGATCATCGGTATCATGAGCATCAGTGGTGAAATCCTTAAACCGATTCGACACAACACCAATATGTCCCTTCAGTCGCTGCAAAACATTCATCATTCACACTTTGCAACATATTCGGTCATTAGGTCCGCGGGATTCCGCGTGCCTCCAATCTTAGCCATCCTCAGCAGGCCAATTTGCACCAAATTCTGGACACACAGGAACCTCAGTTCCACGTGTTTGGTTTTCTTTCCAGTGCCATAGCGGGTAGCCGTTGACTTCCCCGCAGTGCTGTCGGTGTGAGCAATCACATTCACCTAGCTTTGATTCTAACAGCATTGATCGGACAGACAGTGCTCCAGACTGCAGACGCTCCTTGACCAATCGCATACAACTCCGCTTCACCAGAGGACAGTGCCAGTGTTCCTTGCGTCCTGGCAGTACTGACCACATTGAAACCAAGGACATTCACAGTGGAACCGCTAGTGCTCTTCCGCGTGCGGGAGAAACCAGCCCAATCAGAGTCCACATAGACATTGATGTCCACGGCGCACTTATCTGCGAGTTGATACGATGGTCTCAGTCTTAGCACACACATTTTCGTACCAATCAAATAGCGCAGCAGGTGTTTGCATTTGGCAACACTCTGCATTGTCGGTGCAGTCGCATCCCGACCCAACTCTTTCGTCGCATATGCAATATCACCACGAACCAGTGCTAACGGTTAGCAGCTAACCAATAGTTTGCCAACAGCAGTCCTGTAAACTTTTGTGCTCTTCATGAGCACTTCAGGACTCAGTGGCGTATCTGGAACAGTCTTGCTGATGGTCGCAGTTCCAGTCGTCGCCACAGGTTTGGCATCTTTCATTCCATACAGATCCATACAGATCAAGAATCGCATCAATGTACTTCTGTGACATGCGAACATCAATCGAGTCACCATTATGTCGCAATCGTCGTCCTAAGAAAGTGTGCTCACTTCCTGGCACCAGGTGGCACCAGTTGGCCAGTCTCCTTCAGCAACACTTCCTCCGACAGTTGTGACATGAACGATTTCCTCATGTCGTCGGTCCCTACGACCAACAAATCATCAACATATGCAAGCACACACAATCGACCAGATTCATGACAGTAAAGATTCGGGTCACTCTTGCATCTCCGAAATCCCAGTTTCGTCGTCATTACATCAGCGAAGTGTTCCTGCCACAGTCTTGGCGCCTGTCGAAGACCGTACATTGCCTTCTTCAATCGCCATAGACATTTCCCGTCAGGGTAGAATTCCTTCGGTGGCCATACGAACACTTCCTCATTCATCAACGCATGCAAGAAAGCAGTGCTGACGTCACCCATGGTGATGCCCCCAACTCCTTGCCATTGCCATACCGAGAAGCAATCTCATTGTGACCAGTGAGGCGTGGAAGCAAACAAGTTGTCTTCTTCACTCTTCTCAACGTTCTGAAAACAACCTCTCACAACCACTCTGCACCGCAGTTCATCTTCACTCTTCCAAGCCTTGACCCATCGACAGCCAAGGGCACCGTCAATCTGCTCTTGTGTGCAGTCATCAACCTTCACTTCATTATACACATCGAAATTCTTCATTGAACTCATCTCCTTCATCATTCCTTTCTTTTCAGCCTCAGGCGGAAACTCACTCTCCCACAGCATTGGCTCGGAGAGTCGCATTTCTTGGTCGAGTTCGCCTTCCTTGGCATTCACCTCTACATCAATCTTCGTTCCATCCTCTCCAACAACTTCGTCAGCCCCAACAATCGACGCAAGCCATTTGCAAGCAGGGCTCACTCCGGCAATCGTGTGATTCTGTGATGCACGGCAGAGATCTCATTTGCTTCGTCGACGGCTCAGTCACAGGTGCATCTGGATCAATCCTGGCACTCTTTCTGAGCGGTTCTCCAGTCGCCTCAGGTGCATCATGATCCATTTCAGAAGCGGATCTGTCATTGCCACCTTGAAGCAACAGATCCTGCGCAGTGACACTTTCACTCTGACCAGGTACCATGTCTTCAAGTTCAACATTCCCTTCGGCTTCTTCCTCAACACGCTCCAGTCCAGGAGGAGGCTTCACTCTGCCTTTCACTCCCAAATCTGGTGGCATTACAAACACAGTCGACTCAACTCCATCTCCACGCGGCTGCCAGGGAGTGGAGATCATTTTGA